TTTGAGTTGAACTTGTAACTTAAGTTTGTGTTTGGTTGTGTACATTTGAGTTATGGTTTGAGATAAGAATCTTTTTGAGTTTGTGTTTGAGTGAGTCAAAACTTGAATTTGTATTTATATAGTATTTTAATAAAAACTCAATGCTGATGAAAAATTTTAATTGGGTATATGGGTCGGATTTTATTCATCTTTTCGTTGTCAACGCATAGAAAAAAAATCATCTTAATCAAAATTAAAACGAAAAAGTTATAGCATTTTTAATAATAGAAAAAATAATGTTCATTAATTTGAGTTCGAATTTCTGAACTCGAGTTGAAGGGAAAACTTGAACTCGAGTTTTAGTCCTAAACTCGAATTTAAACTTAAAAGAACATGAACTCGAATAAAATTGTAACTCAAGTTGCCTTTTTTTTAGTTTTTTACTCAAAAGAACAAGCCTAAGATTTGAATGGATTGAGAAGTGTGAACAAGCATTTCAACAACACAAAGAGCATCTAGTAAGCCACCTCTCTTATCCAACTTATATTTATCGCAAAAAAACATGTATGTTTTCTTGGCATTCTCAGAGCATGCGATTACTTTGGTACTTATTCTGGAAGATAATTAGACACAGCTTCCGTTATACTAGGGTTGACAATCCGGGTAGCGACACGACGACACGACTCGAAATCCACACGAAGTTAGCGGGTTTGGGTTTACTATAAAAGGGTTTTGGTCATAATCGGGTTGACACGATTAACACAATTAATAAATGAGTTAGGTTAGGGTTGATCTCCTTACACGAAATGACACGAATTGATACGATTAATTATATGTGTCATATGCAATCTAATGATATATATGAAAGTTTATATGACATTAAATACAAATAAAGTGAATTTTAATATTTATAGGTAAAATTCATTTATTTTTTAAAGGAAAGATAAATTGACTAATAAATATGTTAAATCTGTCTTGACCGTGTTAAATAAGTCTTTATTATATTAGTTATTTATTTAATATATTAATTTAAACGAGTTATACGGGTTGACACAATTAACATAATTAATAAATAAATTGCGTTTAAATTGATATTTTTAACACATTTAATAAATAAGTCGTGTTTAAATTAATATTTTTTAACACAATTATAAATAAATTGATACAAATACGACCCACTAATACAAATTGCCTCCCTTACTCATACCATGTAAGCAAAAGCTTGTTAGATGCAGAGACAAGGGGTCTTCATCCCTAATCTCAAGGGATTCTCGATTCTTAGAGTGTGTTTGGTTCAAGGATTCGTGTCATGATTCGAATCATAGTTCGTAGCTCGTTACAGTATTTTCTCTCACAAAAAATACACATAAATTGAAAATGATTCTGAATCCATTAACCAAACCAAATGTCTTTGGCAATGAACATGTGGCGGGCCCTTAATGGTTAGCGGGCTTATTCGGCCTTCATCCCTCGAGACACATTGCAAGGATTGATTGGTTAGTAGAATTCGACCCCACACAAGGTCGTGACAATTAAGCTACTTCGGAATAATTTAAAGCTTTTCTTTGGACAACTTAGTTGTGTATACTTCGAATCTTGACCCCAATTTTAAAGTGAAAAGGCTTCCCTATATAGGGCCAAATAAATTGAAAAAGAGTACCAAAGCTTTCAATTCCCACCACATGTGTTAGTCATTCAAAAATTTTCACCAGAAACATGAATTATCTACCGAGTAAAGTTGACAGAAATAAAAGTTTCCCTATACGAATCTTCATAGTCATTGGCTCATTTAGCTGTATAATGCTTTATCCAAAGCATACAAAACACCTTAGAAGAAAGAGAAAAAAAAAAAAAAAAAAAAAAAAAAAAAAAAACTTACCTAAATTATATCCAATGCAGGAGTTCAATCTTTGAAAAAAAAAAAAAAAGACACTTCAAGTGTACTTTTTTTCTTTTTGGTCGTCTTCGTATTAAAACTATATATAACTAAGGACAGTCCTTTCAAATTCCACCAGTGATGAAGTAACGTCATGCAATTTTTGTGAAAACTTAAAAGAGTACTAAACATAATGAAAAAAAGACTAACATCGTAGTAACAGAATGTGTACATTATATTCGGAGCTAAAAAAGAAAAAATATGTGCATTATAATTCTACGGGGGGAAAAAAAAAAGAGCACTATATAACTTAGTGATGAATAGATATAGAATCTCCACAATTTGGGCAGGTCAATGTTTCGAGACATTATGCTCCTAAAAGAAATAAAAAGAAGATTCTCAAAAGAAAAAGAAAAAGAAATGGAGAAAAGAAAAACATAGGATTCGGATGAAAGGAAAATATCTGGATATTAAATTATATTAACTAATGTGTGATGTAATATAACATAATCAAGTAAATACTATTAGGGTTATTTCCTACATATGATGTTGTTAAAATATTAGAATAATTTTCATCAATGGTCCCTAATGTTATATTTGGTAGGATGGATAGAAAAGATGAAGAAATGAGAAGTAAAATATCCAAATGAAGGAAGTAAAATAGTTTTTTCTTATGTTGTTTGTAGAAGGTAGAAGAGAAAGAAAAGTGAAAATAAAATATCAAATCTAGGACATTTTACAATAATACCTCAATACAAATAAAAATATGATGAATAGTGAAGGTTAAATTTTACACCTTGTTTATTTGTCAAAATTTTTTCCCTCCTTATTTCTTCATAAAGTTGAAAGAATTAAAAATTGATGGGCCCTATGAATTTTCATTTTCCTTCCTTCCTCATTTTCTCTCTACTAAACAACATAAAATTCAATTTTTTTTATTCTTCCTCTATTTACATTCCTCTTCTCTTTTCCACCTTACCATACACACTGTTAAATACTTGAATAAATGACAACTTGATCCTCTTTCTTTTAATTTCACAAAATGACCCTCAAACTCTTAAAACGTTTGCAATTGAAGCCTTTCCCTCCATTCTATATAACATGCACGATCGCCTGATCAGGGGGTAATACAGTAAAAGACATAACTTCATCAAAATAAATTAATATTAATATATGTATTTGTTTAAAATTAAAATAAAAATAATTAAAAGGGAAACTAAAACAAAGCTTGCAAAGTGTAAGCATCGGCTGGGGGAAGGAGCTCGACGGAGAAATCGGAGCTCGGTAGTTCATATTGGCTCCCATGGCAGTAAATTTGCGTATTTGAACCTCAAAATTTCTAGAACTGCCTCGTCATTTTGGGAGAGAGAGAGAGAGAACGGTGCTGTGACGATCTCACGGCAACTTGGTGGAGGCTCGACGGAGGGATATGGGTGGTGAAAGCGGACTCGACGACTAGCTAAGATTTAGAATAACAGTCTCAGACTTTCAGTTTGCTTATCATACATTCAACTAATATGAACATAAAAAGGACAATACATAGATATATAAAATAAATAAATCTTTATTAATAGTCAAAATTTCTCAAAGAATATTATTACATTTATTCTTAATGGCATAAACACTAACATGTATTTGGTAGAGGTTCCGTGAAGTGTATTTTCATCATTTCATGAGAAAAGTGACGGATATCGTTTAAAGAGTTAGGGGTGTTTGGCCAAAATTAAAAAATTTAAGATTAAATTGTCACTTATTAAATAGATCAAAAATTATACGTGTAACTAGTAAATATATATATATATATTGTTAATTGTATCATTTAAGGAGTTTAGAGTGTTTCGTCAAAATTAAAAAGTTTGAAATTAAATTATCACTTATTAAATAGGTCAGGAATCATACGTGTAATTAGTAAATTTATATATATATATATATATTTATTGCATTTTGAATTGTTTTAGTCTTATATACCTACATACCGTCAATTTGTACTTAATATGTACGACCCCTCAACCAACGAACTATTTTAATCTGTGAAATTCTAGAAATATCTTTTTTAGTTAATGATGCGTTACTTCTATTCCGGTAATTAAACAGAATTGATGTGATTTAGACTATTCTCAAAATTTCATAGATCAAAATGGACGGTTGACCTGATTATGATGTGGATTGAGAATAAATTCGTGGTCAGAAGGTATAAAAATGTAACCATAGAAATGCTAGGTATTATATTTTAATAAGCTTAAAATACAATGTACAAAAGTATAAATTTCTCTGTTTTTTCTATAAAACACACAAAAGCAAAAAAAAAACTACAGTGAATATAAATTTCTAGTAAATCGGCGCAATGTGAATATAACTATAGTGAAAGCAATATGTGAATTAATGTAATATGATCACGTAGATCCTTATTATTTGAAAATATCAACTTACCGATAAGATATTTTTTTTTATGAAGTTTTGTGTGATTTTTAAGAACTTTCCTGGTATTGGGAAGAAGATAAATTGTGTTCTATGTTGTAATTTTCAAACTTCAATTGCTATAGTTGCATAAATCATAACAAGACTAGTGAGTTTTGAAGACAATACGGCAATTTTTGCATTAGGTCCCGTTCATTTCGTTGATTCGAGTTTAGAATTCGAATTTTATTATAGTAAAAAGCTCTTATAAATAATCACATCTAACTTTTTTATTACAGTAAAAAATTCTCACATAAAGTCACATCTCAACTCGAATCAGCGAACTAAACGAATCCTATATATACTTGTAAACTTTGAACGAAAGAATTATTTACCATAAAGGACCCTTGTAATTTTTCATTTTATTACAACCCGTGATAACTCTTTTGTGGAGAGAGAGATGAAAGAATCAAACTTTTAATTACGAGAAGAAGACAATTTAGGCAGCGGCGGTTAGTAGGCTTTTTCCTTCTTTATTTATTTATTATTTATTTTTATTTTTATTTTTTGTACTTGTAAAGGAGTTGTTTTCCGACAACTAGTCACGCAGTTTCTGTATACGGACAAAGCAAGCGTTCGACAGCACACTCACACAGTACTCGAAACGACAACGTTTTCAACTATATCCAATAATAACCATTTAAAACCATTTTCTAATCTTCCATTTATAAGAGCCTCTCCACTCGAACATACCCACAGCTTAAGAGTTAAGAAAAACGAAGAGAGAGAGAGAGAGAGAATGGCGTACAAATCACAAATCGCGGTGACGATCATGATCATGATCATCATCGCCGGCAAATCGGAAGGTCGGGAGCTGAGGCCGTCGGATCACGGCCTAGAGTTCCAGGAGTCGCCTCCGCCAGGGAAGAAATCGCCGGAGATGCTGTCGTTTTTCGCAGGAGGAGGAAGATCTGCAGGCTCGTCGCCGTCGTCGTCGTCGACGAACGACGTCGCATTGCCGAAGGCTACCAACTCGAACGACACGTCGTGGTGGTCCGGCGGCAGTAGCGGCGGCGGCGGAGGAGGAGGTAGGGATCACGTGAGGCGAGTGTTGGTGGTGGCGAGTGTGGCGTGTGGGATCACAGGTGTCGCGTTGCTAGTGGCTTCTGCTCTTATTTATCTCTTTCGCTACAAAAAGCAGAAAAAGTCGTCGTCGTTGTCGTCGACGTCAGCTCCACCAACAAACGACAATAATAGCAAGTAGTGCGTGGTCATTCTTCACTGAAACTCCAGTTTCTCTTTTTATTTTTTGGTTGCAGTCTTGTAGATAAAGCAAATTAAAAAAGGACGTTTATAATGCAAAAGAAAAAAAAAATGGTTTTTTTTTTTTTGCTCTTTTTTTCCGTCTGTTCGTTGCTTATTCTATTATGATTATGAGAAGTTCGAATTAGGTAATACTTTGAGTGCATTTATTAGTCCAGTTGTTCAATTGTCTGGATTCTGTGATACTAATAAAATAATTAATAACTTTAGATTTTCGGTTTTTTTTTTTTTCTAATTTAAGGATTTTAATTTGCTTGTTTATTTTAGATCATTAGTCAATTTCTAATCACCAAGTAGGCAAGTCCTATAGATATCAGTTATCACTCGTTGTCGTTTCAAGTACTATAAGTTTACGTTTTGAGGGATACCAAAAAAGATATTCATTATTAGTGGTAAAAGAATTCCGGACTTTATACCTTTCTGTAAAAGTTTGTTCATTTTGCATTATTTTTTTAATAAATATTTTTATATTAGGAAAAATAAAATTTGCATTAAATTTTAAAACAACACCTAATCTGCGTACGGGACCCACAAAAACATGAACATGTGAGTTAATTTCCTTAAATGACGGAATTGCAAAGTCAATTTCACCGCTACTTAGCTTTGAATTTTTTTGCTGAGTAAAAAAATAAAATAAAAAAAATAAAGATAAGAGATTCCTTATTCTACATAAACCTTCTTATTCTATCTATATGTAAGTGAAATTAAGATAATCATTGGAGTACAAAAAAAAAAAAAAAAAAAAAAAACGAGAGAGAGAAAAAGAAAAGAAAGAGAAATGAATCAACATTGTCGGTTGGGGCGGTTTTAATCCAGCTCAACTGGCTATATATTGCTGACTATGGCGTTCGGTATTTGACGCGGAGACTCAGCTAAAGTTTAAGTCTGTTTATCTCACCGATTTGAATTAAGAATTTAAGTTTTATTATAGTAAAAAATTCTCAGAAATAATTACATTTAATTTTTTTATTACAATAAAAAATTTTTATATAAAATCACATCTCAACTCAAATTAAAAATTTAAATTAATGAACTAAACGTGTACTAACTAAATGCTGCTCGCTAACTTCCCTATCCGTTTCTGTTGTTGGGTCCTAAGCAAACAGTAGCAAATTGGCAATGATGAAGGATATACGATTAATAAAATAAAATATCTAATGAAGTAAATATGCTGTCGCTATGAATGCACTCGATATTTTGCTCTCATTTGGTTTATTAGTTTAAATTCGTAATTTTTATTATGTTATAATATTTTTTAAAAAAAAAATTAAAAAATTTTTGTCAATAAATTCTCTTATAAAATTTAAATATAAATAGTAGTAAATTGACAACAATGAACAACATATAATTATAGAAATAAAATAAAATATTTAGTGAACTACGTATGTTGGATTAGAATCATGATATTAGAACTATTTTTTATTTATATGTATTTTTTGTGAGAGAAAATATTATAACAAATTATGAACCATGATTCGAATCAGGGTACGAATCCCCTTACCAAACGTCACAATTTTATTTGCAGAATTAGATTCAGTTGCCACAGTTTTGTTGTTGCTCAAAATAGAAGGGAATTTCCACAGTAGGGGCATTCCATCAAACTACTCCATAGAGTTATTAACCGAAATCACATGTACGATTTAAATTAGACGACACACGTGATATAGGGATGGATGCTATAAGAAGATTATTTAGCCAATACCGTTATACTTACTTTTTAAGTGTCATTTGATTTAAACTGATGAGATGTTTGTTTTAAGGTTCGTCCTTAGTTCGAATCATGATTCTTAGTTCTCTACAGTGTTTTTCTCACACATAAAATTTGAATTTTAAAAATTAGAATTTTAAAAATTAGAATCATGAATCATAATTCTGAATTCATGAATTAAACGTCTCATAAATAAGTCTACGGGTAGGACACTAAGAGTGTTTGGTCAGCATACATTATGGAATTAAAATCGTAGAGATTTTCTATTCACTTTAATTGTTTTGTTATAAAGAAGGAAATGAATTAAGTATCCTTATATACAACCTAATTAGTTGTATTAAAATATAGAAAACTTTGCTGCGTAGCGCTAAATCCGCACGAACCACACCTGGCTTTGCATGATGAGGTGTAGAATTCAAATTCTTATCTACAACTTCAAAAGAAAAGAAAAGAAAGAAAGAAAGAAAGAAGAAAGAAAAAAGAGAGAAGAGAAGAGAACAAGCTTGTTGGGCTTAACATTTTTTTTTTTTTTTTTTATCGAAATAAACTAGATACTCATCAATGCACTATAGGTGCCACTCTAAAAAAGAAAAGAAAAGGAGAGCTGTAGGACAATTTAGTGATAAAATCTACTCTCAAATGATGTACTTTTTGCCTCTTTATTTTTGCTTGTTAATCAAGGATTGTCAAAGGTACACAATCCTCAAACAGTTAAGATCTCGTTCACTTCGCGAATTTAAATTTTTAATTCGAGTTAAGATGTGACATTTTGTGAGAACTTTTCACTGTAACAGAAAAAGTTAAATGTGACATTTTCTGAGAATTTTTTACTATAGAAACTTAAAACTGAAAACTCGAATCGGTAAAATGAACGAGTACTAAAACTATACGAGTCTTTTAAGGGGAAGTGGTTATAACCACCGGGATGCCCCACAAGAACCTTTCCAACATTTCAAACTTTACCATCCATAATGAGCAACAAAACAAAAATGTAGTGCCCAAATCATTAATTCTCTCAACTAATACTTTTGAAACGGATAGTGACTCAAAAACAATGGATTTAAACTGTTCCATTATTCCCAAACTTTGATGTTATATACCTTGTCACACAGATTCGCGTTTTCCTTTGTAGAGAGTCGTGAGAGGGACTTGACAATCCAAGACACCCCCTTCTCATTTCTGCCATTGCTTGACTGGACCACCATTCAACTGATTCATTTCTTTGTCAAGTTTTCTGAATAAAATAACTATAGACCTATTTATGGAAGTTATAACGGTCCTTTTGCAATAAAAGCTCTGTATGTTTTTTACTGTTAGATTTAATCAGAATCACATTAAAATGAATAAGTATGCAAAACAAACAGTATATGGTACAGATTTAACAGTCCCTCCCGGTAATTTAATTTTTCAAACCATACCGTGAAAATCTCCGAGCTATAATTTACTTTTTGAACAATAGTGTTTCTTCACTCCTTTTTTCGGTTGAAATCTTCATTGAAAAGATATTATTTGAAGACAAGTAAAAGAGGGTGTCCCTTTGCCAACCTGTAAGACTCTAACTGTAGAATTTTCTAGTACACTAGAAATGCTAAAACAAAATAGAAAAAGAAAAAACAATATTCTCTTCTCCATTTTCCCCAATAAAAGCCAAAGTTAATGATTGAACAAGTAAAATCCTAGCTTAGTGGACTTTTTTTTAATGTCAATATAAAGCCTGTTTAGTTCGTTGATTCGAGTTGAGATGTGACTTTATATGAGAGTTTTTTACTATAGTAAAAAAGTTAAATGTGACTGTGTTTTAGAGCTTTTTACTGTAACAAAACTCAAATTCTAAACTTAAATCGGTGAAATAAACTGGACCATAAACTTCAAAGAAACTGAATAGCAATTGCAACTCGGTAGCCGTCATCTCTAATTTCTGTTCATTAATCCTTTGGACTAATATACCAATATTCTTTCACAGGTCTCTTTAAGAGAAAGCAATTGGACAACAGACACAGATCAGGGAAATTCTAGCTAACATCACCAGCAGTTAGAAACGATTAGTATAAAAATGGATTTCCATCAAAATTAACCACCAATTGAAGTCGGTAAAAATTCTCGAGCATTTGCAACACGCTTCTTAGATCTACATTCTAAATCGAACTCCAGTACGACCAGTCAATTCTGGTCGCACCATGCAACACATTTTCAATCGACGGTTAGAAAAGACTTGAACTATTGAAACTTTTTGTCGCCGGATCCCACCTGACAAAAAGCTCAAATTTCAATGATCCAGATCAACTTTCCCATCTTCCAACACACGATAAATTGCTTAATAGAATCTGTTACTAGATGTTTGTTTCTTATATTCGTCTTTGATTCTGAATCATAATTAATGATTCTCTATAGTGTTTTTCTCTCACAAAAAACACACGTAAAATGAGAATGGTTTTGAATCATGATTCTAAATCTATGAACTAAACGTTTAATTTGTGTTTGTTTACTTCTGTAGAGTACCTGAAGTGCAGAAATTTTAGTTCAAAATTGATATGCAGAATTCTGCTTCCACTGCAAAGCTCGTGTACCAATTTGGGTTCGGTTCTTTTTTATAGCTAACCTTATACAGGCTTCAAAGACACAATCAGAACTTAGAAAATAGGATCTTCCAGAGACAATCTCAACTTCTCCTATAATCAGGCACCGGAAGCACAAATAAACTGTTTCATGTCATCTCAGAGGCACAAAGAATAAAGAAAGAAAGAAAAAAGGTTTCTTGTCACTTCTATCCTGTTGTATGGCAAACAAAGAGATTAATATGATATAAATCATTTTTCGACTTGTAGTTGAACAAATAATAATGCGGGAAATTATTTTTGTGAACGTTATGCTCCCATGTACATTATTTTTGGGAAATTATCAAATATATCATACATATAATATATTCGAACCTAAGCAAACCAGAAACAGAAAGTATATAACAGAAGAACCAATAGAAGATTAAAATGAAGTCCTTGTAACTGATCAAACTACAAAAGTACATATTGAACATCAATCGTAGAACACAAGATCAAGGTACAGACAGGTACATGGTGAAAATCAAAGCCCACCAACATAAATATCGAAATTCTTTTTTATAAACTGAGCAAATCTCAGTACTACACAGAAAAGGAAAGTACTGAATTAAGATTAAATAAATATATAAATACAAGAGTAAGAAATATAGAGTACGGAGTGTCATTCCTTTGGAATAAATATCCCCATCAAAATCATTCTTATTAGAAGAAATTTGAAAGAATGATAAAAATATGTACCTATTGGTCAAGAGGCATCCACTCTAGTTCTAGCTCCATTTCTCCAGATTCCACATTTTGAAGCTTCAGCGACACCTCCTGCTTTACCTTCCCATCAACAATGTTAACAGTGCTATCTTCTTTGAGGGCGTTGTCATGGGACTTCAACCATTTCCCGATCTGCATGTTTCCGAACATTTCTGCATCTCCGAACGCCATTGCGGATGTTATCAAGGGTTGAAGATCAATCTCTGCCTCTCCCATTATATCATCAGCGGAAAAGGTGTCATGATCAAACACCCTCTGCATCAGGCAAGTTGAAAGGTCAAATGTAATGCAATACTTATCAGAGAGCATGCGACAAAACAATGGTCTAGCACTGTCATAATATTTCTTCGGTGCAGAAAGTAAAATTCTTGATGGGAAAAGTTATCCCATGCAAAACACGTATTAATCATGTTGAATCAGCAAGGCTGGCAGTAAAGTAAAATGAACACCTTGAGATTTTCCATCTTAGAGTATTCTAGCAGGAATGAAACGATAAACAGTGATTCTGCTATTCATTCTGTCAAGTACTTCCTCAAACATAAGATTTAGGATCAAGACTGTATAGTCAAGCCAAATGATTCCATTTAATAATTCACATGCCATCTCAGTTGGCTCATCTACAGTGTGTGGCCAAATTTGTGTCAAATTTAACCATAAGAACCGAACATTTCCCTTGAATCCTGATCATAGCGTTCTCTTCATTGACATATGAAGACTCCGTGTTTCAAGACGCTAAAGGGGGCAAATGAATTTGAACTCATTTAGAATTGTTTCACACAATAGACAGTAATTTTATGCTAGTTGACGGGAGGCCTTGTAAAAATGTTTTTCTTTTTAAGAAAAAAAAATCCTTTCTTCTTGGGAATATTATAGTAAATTGACTGCATTTCCCAATTCAGAAAATGAAGATTATTTTCCTCCAAACAATGTGTTTAGGTGAAGTTTTTCTTTTCTTCGTCTTTCTTTTTTTTTCCCCCTTTTTGATAATGCTCATAGGTTAAGTTGCAAGTCAACATAAGGTGCTGAATTATACATTAATAAAATCATGAACAGAAAATATGATCCAGCTCAAACTCTTCACAGTTGTCTGGTGGCAAACTGAAAGGCAATACTCTAGACGAGAAAAAAAAAGCCTCCACCATATCCACAAAATTCATAAGAGCATTTCTTGATTTACAAGAAGAAAGATAAGATAGTCTGACATATAGTTCCACTAGAGGGAGTAAAGTCATGTCAAACATTTCTGAAATGCATAAACAAAGAAAACTTAAGATGCTCAATATCGTCATCAATTCATCAGTACAGTGGTAAAAATATTTTTTCTTCTTTTCTTATCCTTCGAAGAATTTCTAACCAGAGGAAAAATATAAACCTAACATGTAATTTTTTTTTTATTTAAAAAAAGTACATAAAGATAGCTTACCAATTTTAGGGGTCCAAATTGCTGAGGAACGGATAGCATGAGTTCTTCATTCCAAACTGGATTCAAGTTGCTCTTCACTACAGTTGTCTGGACAGTCTACAATGTCAACAGCAATTAATCATAACCCCAAAATTAGAATGATCATTTAAACAATAAACTTCAATTGTTTAGTAAAAACCTTCTGCAAGAAGACGTAAAAGTGCTGGTAGAAATATCAGAATGGTGACATATATCTCTTCCCCACACCAAGCAATTAACTTATTTACATCCCAAGTATCTTCGTCTGTGAATTCTCTAGACTTTTTCCTCACAGTTTTAAATTGCGCAATTGGGTACTGAGGCATATATGTGAATTATACCTCAAATTCATAACCATGTGTCCTATACTGATATTGATATATACAAATTCACAAGCCATACGTCCTCCTACACTGATTCTCAAATTCTCTAATTTATGAAAATTCAGCAGCAACTTATGGGATTCTTAGTTGGCAGAAAAAAAAAAGAAAGATTTCTTGGTTTTTTTTTTGTTGCTCAATACAGACATATAGGCTTTGGGCATTTTTATTTAATTCAGCCTTACAAAACATCAGAGCAAACGAGGGTGTGGGCCTCTACGGCTCACTTCAAAATATAGAGGTGTACACCTCTTTCCTTCCATATGAGGCTTCCGCTTCATGGTAGGTGATTTTAAACATTGCTTTTTCGTAAATTCTCATAAATAACTGTATTCACTGTCAAAGCCAGGTTGCAGCATCTTCTAAAACTCTTCATAATGTTTTTTTTCCATTTCTTTAAAAAAAAAAAAAAAAAAAAAAAAAAAAAAATAAGCTGAAAATCTCCTCCATTTTGGATTTGTATGCGCCATGCAGAGAAAAAAGACAATAATTATAAGAAATTTGACCATAATTAGTGCTTTAAAACATATCTTTATCTACAATTCCAAGGAGAGAAGGAAACAAAACAACCAACCTGTTGACCTAGAGTCAAGACAACATAAGGATCACTTGACAGCATATCTCGAACAGCTAAATTCACTCCTTTAACCACTTTTACCTTCAATAATCCCATAAATTCTACCATGCCTTCCTGTTACCACTTCCAACATCAGATCAGCTGGATAGAAGTTACTAAGATATTATCACCAAATAGCTTGAGAAATACTAATAAGGTAAGCAAGTTTTACTTTTAGTTTCCTTGATAATACTGTTGCTGGTCCTAACAAGTTAACATGCTCAAATACCACATAAGTAAAATGTCATTTTAACTATCACGTCCAAAGAATTTTTGTGTCTAGAAAGAAAGTGAACAATCTGTTGCACAAAGCTTAGCAGTGTAAAGCATGTGGACAGACATCAAAGGATTTGACATTTTGCTATAGGGACACAGCCTTTAGACTATCTAATCAAAAGGAAGAACAAAATCAATAGACTTTACCAAATTCTGTGAATTTGTACTTCGGAAGCTATCCATAATTTTCTTGGAAAAACTTGATTGGAGAGAGCTCTTTGTGGAAGGAATTGATGTAATCCGCAAGCTAGGTTTCAAAAATTTTTGAAGCTCATACTTAGACCTGCATGAAACGTTTTTTTTTTTTTTTTTTTTTTTAACAGAATGCTTACAAAACTAAAGTAAACCTAGAAATGCTAGGTTCTATGATTCTCAGACTAACCGGATAAATATTGAACGCTCCTCATGACTGGCATCTGGTCCAGGCTTCTTGAATCCTTCAGGGATAAAAGCCTCGTAAATTGAGTTCGCAGAAGAATTTCCGCCAACTTCAATCATTGAATCAATTTCATCATTGGACCATTCATCCAACGTCACAGACAAAACCTGAAGAGTTGCAGTTCATTACATCCAGGGAACATACTATGTCTTCTGCCTAATGTACTTGGAATAAATAAATAAAAATAAAAATCCAATGTGTGTGTATTCAGGCACCAGCATACTGGGCATTACCTTTGAAATATGTGTGCCAAGGCTTCTGTGCACGCCACAACATTTTAAGCATATAAAAACTCCAATATTAGCTGACCTGAAATCCCGATCATATTTCTTAACACCTTGGAAATTATGGTTAAACAAATAAATAATACTTCCCAAAATTTTATGTGCAACATTTACAATTATTAACTCTCAGCATGAAATCAAACATCACCACGCAGTTAAAGAACAATATCAGAAAATCAGGGTGATATAACTTACGCCCATTTAGGATCTGGCGCACCACAGTCAGCACACGAGCGATTATCCTTTTGAAGCAATAGATCTTTCAATCTTCTTTTACCTGTTAAAGAAATTGCATATGAGCAATTCAGCACTTTTAATATTTAAAGCATTTTTCTTATTTTTAAACTTTACTGCTACAAATATGTTAGATAGTATGTGTAAATAAGATATCGTAATTAATAACTCAATATTGTATTGTAACTTCCAAAATATTATTCCTCCAAGCTTAAGCTCCCAATTGTTGGCAAACACAATAGTTAATCAGCAGAATATGATGAATGCAACTTTTAAAAGTTCCCCAAAATAAATAAATTCCCTGGGTAATCCCATAGAAATCACAGAAGAGGGGCAGAAAGTAAAAGGCTATTGGAAAACGGAAAGGAGATGGGAAAGACACCAATCTTCTTCCAATTATAGAACAATCCCTTCTCCTTCACTCTTGCCCCACATCTTATCAAAAGTACAGTCTAAACTCAACAGAAGATAACAGTTGTCAACCAGACCTCAACAAAAACCATGGTAAACCAATAAATGCATCAAACAGCACATGGTGAACCACGTAAAGACGCACTCGCACTTAGCAGTCTTATTATGGCCCCTTTATGGCAAAGTCCTGCAGCTTCACCTAAAAGTTATCCCGATCAGTCGATAACAGGAACTAGATCGTTCCAAATTATCATCGCCTGATCAAATCAGCTTTTATTGCATATCAACACGTGCAAACTACCAGCATCTAACTGTATGACATAAAACACACATACACATGGATGCAATCCATATTTTCATAATTGACAGGTGAAAATTTTAAACATGGTGCATGTTTAGCTTCTAAAATGAACGTCAAGCACCAAAATGCATTCCCATTTACGAACTACGAGCGCCAAAAGGCTAATAAAGAACTGCAAACGCGAAAGAAAATTCTTAATTATAGCAACAATAATGTAACTCAATCTATAATAACTTGGAGGTATTACAAGCGTACCTGAAGCAGGCCTCCGAAGTTCAGAAGGACGGTCACTCATTTCGCAAGTCTTTAACCACTATATATCATCCAATGATTGATACCTGGCTCAGATGGGAAAAAGACCAAAAATGAATTGAATTGAACAATACCACCAAGAAAATTAGAAGCTATGCAACACGAGTACAAAAAACATCGTAAATTTTACAAATTTTTTGGACAAAATATATCAACAAAGTCCACAGAAACCAAGAATGGCATGTTATAACTACAGAAGTTGAGGGAAAATGCCATATCAATCCACACCGAGCAAATTGCCAAAACAAGTTTAATCAAACTTAAAATCAAAATTAACAACCCAATGACAAAACAACCCAATACCAGTGGAATGGAACTAAACGCAATTTTTGCAATAATATTGGCAACCTTTGATCACAGATGGGGAAAACCCAGATCAACCAAAACGACCCTGCACAGTTGAGCGTGAAATATTGGCCTTTCTCACGTCCCAGATGAAAGAAATTTTCCGCATTCAAATAGAAGAAAATGAATTTAATTATTCGATTATTTTGCTGTGTTGAGAAAAATCAAACCAATGCAAAACTGGAACAATCCCAAAATGATGGCAAATAATGGGTCCATTTTAAAACGTCGGAATTAGAACTCAGTTTTCAAACCCAATTATTCAACAGCCATTGACAAAATCAAAGAAACATCAATGATCAAAAAATAGAATAATAACAATAATAAGATTGAACACCTCAAGATCTGATATTAATAGGAATAGCAACAGTAATATTTACGAACCGAAGAAATGGGATGAGAGAGAGAGAGAGAGAGAGAGAGAATGATTCTCCAAGGTGGTGGTGGATGGTGATATATTTCAGGCTTTCTTTGATACGGATATGTTATAGGAATGAGAATGACTGGCAACGTTTCCTTTTCTACTTGCTCTTTTTATTTCATTTTTTATTTAGTATTATTACATCCTCTTTTTATTTAGTATTATTAAACTCCTGATCACGATTCAAAAATGAATAAAATTGAAAATGAAAATGTTATTGATTTTTCCCTAAATTCTAAATGCTACATTAATTTGTACAATATTTTGTGTTTTCTTTAATTGAAACATCATATTTGTGAGCATTAAAAAAAAAGTCTATCTCCCTCCCTCCCTCTATTAAAAAAAAGTATATCTCCCTCCCTCCCTTAGAGTGTGTTTAGTATGATGGAAAAGTAGAAAGAAGAAAGTACGTAGAGGGATTATTGGATAGAAAATGATAGAGTTGGTTGTTTAGTAAGAAGAAATAAAGGAGATAAAGGAAAATATGATGAAAAAGAATTATGGTGTGGCTACTATTTTTTATCTCTCCAACATTAGAAGGAAAATTAAAATCCACTCATTTATGGCTAAATTTACTTTTGTGTCCCTATTTTAAAATCGAAATTAATATTAAACAATTGATAAAATAGTCATTTAGGCTATTACATGTTTTCTTTCCTCTCATTATACCAAACACTATAAAGGAAAATCAACTTCATTCCTTTCCTTCACATTTTCTTTCTTTTATGTATTTTCTTTCCATTCTCTTTTCTTTCTCTCCTACCAAACGGAGTGTTAGAGTCGGAGTCTGGCGGCAACGTTTGGCCACCCTTCAAACTCTCGACCCCGGGGATGAAAGACTCAACATCATTGTAAGGAGCTTGGTGGAGGGCTTGTCTATTTGGTTAGAAATAGTTGGTTTTTGGTGAGGTACGGGGTGGAGGACATCAGATTTCATCTCTCTGTTGGGACTATCAGATTTCTAACTGTGTTGGTCTTTAGGCTTTGTCCTTCTCGTCGAAGTATATCTGGGTGTTGGTTCAATTTGTAGGTATGGTCACTGTGGTCGGGGGTGGCTCACAATGCATGAGTTTATAGGATGATGGGCATCTTCGATTCTTAGAGTGTGGCGATTGTTCTAAGAGAGAACGTTTCAGGAGGGTTGACTGCCGGCGATTATGGGTGGCTCCGCAAGACGGCTTGATGTCGCTTTGGTTGCACGAATTATGGCACCGTTTAGATATGTTTTCATTGGCTTATTTGACCTTGTGGGGTACCTTGTTTACGATGTAACCGTCACTTAGATTTTATGTCTTGTTTTTGTTTTAAAATCCGCTTGAAGTGTTTCTTGGCAATATTATGGGTGATCTTTGGTCTATAAGTATCATAGATTCGATGGATTGGAGTTGTCCATCGATTATAAATGTGTGTTCTCAAAGAGCCACATATGTGGCCAGCCTCTCGTTGCAGTAGCTCAGTGCACGTTTTCTCCCCTCTCGTTTTCATGAAAATTGGTGGAACCAGTTAAGTTATGTTTGTATTGTAATGTGATTTATATCGACATTAGCATTTGTATTTTTGTGTTTTGAAATACAATTTGCCTTAAAAAAATCATATTTTTATAATTGTCCTTCAATGATTTTTAATTTTTGAGAAAATTGTACTTTTACTAATTTGTACCTGTATGCGTGGGATTTGTAATATCTTTATTTGTTAAGGCTTAATATATATATATATATTGTATAAAGTTATTTTAGAGTAAAAATATTACATATTTTCTTTAAAACGAATTAGAAAAATACTATTTGGTATGGAACGCCGCCTTATGAACACGTATATTTCTAACCTTACATCACCTTAAAATTATAACAATTTTTAAATAAGGAAAATTAAACCATATTTGACGAAAATTTTAAAATTAAACATCGTGATCTATAAACTGGGTATATAGTAGATATTTTTGGGCTAGTTATGTAATAGGATTCTTCATAAATGTATTGTGTAATAAGTAATGTCAAAGACACTAATTTAAATTTCAACTCATATATATTAATTGATGTGATATATGAGTTGTTATTTTTAAATTAATAAATGTCTAAATTATTGTCAAGTTAATTATTTAAAATGATAACTCAAATATCAAATCAGTTAGTGCACAAAAATTAAGATTTGAATTAATATTCTTAACATTATTCTTGTATAATATTTTAAGATTGTTGGAACTGTCACTCCAACCAAAATTATAATACAGAAGAAAAGCAATATATTTTTTGAGATAAAAAGTTATAGAATAATTTTAAATATATATATATATATATTTGATATATTCCATGGAAAGAAGATGTCACGGGGAACCGTTCGTTAATTCAAGCTTCTAGTTGTAAGATTAGACACGTAACAAACGGACACGGCCCGCCATATCGACAAAACAAACAAAAGCCACGACCAATAACAAGGTCAAACTTTCGAGCAAAAAAAAAAGCCAAACTTTTCAAACAAAAAAAAAAAATGTCAGACAAAAACACAACAAGTACTGCTCAAATCTCATCCGGTCATGCCACGGCAAATAAAAAGATAATACTTAAATAAGTAAATTCAAATTTGAAAAAATAAATATAGTAAAGAGCATATTTTCAAAAGAATTATTAACCCGTTTAGTTCGCTGATTTAAATTTTTAATTTAAGTTGAGATATAACTTTATGTGAACTTTTTACTGTAAAAAAAAATTAGACGTGACTATTTTTTAGAGATTTTTACTGTAGCAAAACTCGAATCAGTAAAATGAACAAGGCTTATATATATTCTGTTTCAAAATGCTCTATTTTACATGAGGACGTTTGGTTTATGTATTCAGAATTATTCTCGTTTTACGTGAATTTTTTGTGAGAGAAAACTCTGTAGAGAATCATGAATTATGATTCAAAATCAAAGACGAATATAGGAAACAAACGTCCCAAATGAATCAAAACACCCCTTAATATATAAAAAAGAGATCAAATTACACCTTCCGTCTAAAATCGTCTATAAATTTAACGGAAGTACCTATGTGGCTTACCATCAAAATGCAGAATATAAAGATGAAAATAACCATTTAAAAACATAAAGTTAAAAAAGAAAATTAAAATACGCGTATATATATATATAATATCGAGTATTATATGTAAAATTAGTGACACAACTCTAGTCCCTAGTTCAAAAACCTAGAGAAGAAAGGGATGAAGAGAACATGATTACATGAGGGAAGTTTTCTATTTGTCTAAATAATGTACATTTTACTACAATGTCACAATTTTTTTATCCAACAAGGATCGAATAACCTTCCCCCAAACTCCATCCCCAAAGTGCAATTGGGCTAAATGATTTTAAGATACTACAGTTTCACGATTAAAGCATATCTAATGCAATGCTGTAATTGATGTGTCAATTATAAATTTATCATTTGAGTGCAAAAAAACTTCCGTGTAATGCTATTTATTGTATTAAATTTCTCATATGCTATACTTTGTGATAAATTTCTCATCAAATATAGAATATGTGAAATTTGACATTTGATTGTTATTGGTTGAAATGTTTACTTATTAATGTAATAATTACAACTTTTGCATGTTATAATTATTTTAAGGATTATTATCACATATGCCGTATGAACTTTGAGATCACCCGTACTTTACTCCCTGAATTTTGAAAATCCTTACTTTACTACTCTAAGGCCTCGTTCGCTTTACGGATTCAAGTTTTTAATTCTAGATGTAATGTGACATTTTTTAAGAACTTTTAACTGTAACAGAAAAAGTTATATGTGACATTTTCTGAGAGCTTTTAACTGTAGAAACCTGAAACTAAAAACTCAAATCGGTTAAATGAACAAGGCCTAAACGTTCATGAACTTCCATTTTGCCCATTCTGTCTCAATTTCTGTTTAAAAGAGACAGGATACGTCTCACGTGCATGATGTTTGAGGGTAAAATCATAATTGATTTTTTGGTGATATGCAATGCACCTATGCCCCCTGAACTTTAGAGTCGCTCTCACTTTGCCCCCTGAACTTTGAAGTCATCTCTCCTTTGCCCCCTGAACTTTGAGGTCGCCTCCACTTTACCTCATGAACTTTTTCATTGTTTTTCATTGTTCCCTCCATACTACTTTAAACTTTGAATTTCTCTCACTTTGAAAAGTGTAGTATTAAATGACAATATTTTACGGAAATTTTTTAGAGATATTAGTAAAAATTCGATAGAATGTTTTATGATGAATTTGTATATTTTAGGTTAACTTTTACTGATATAAACATTTTTATAAAATTCAGGTACTGCTATGTCTTACTACGAATCAAATCAATGAAAATAATTCAAATAGAAAAAAAAATGATAAAAGGACATCAAACTGTGTTTAGAAAATCAAAGAAAATAAAAAAAAATCATACTGAGTGATCGGATTACTACGAATGTGAGTGAGCGGGTACCAATCTTAATCAAGTGGGGGGAGCAAAGTGAAAAAAATTTAAAATTTAGGACAGTACAGTGGGAGCTATGAAAAGTTCATGGCACAAAATGGGAAGGACTCTAAAGTTCAGGAGGCAAAGTAGAGGCTCTTCAAAGTTCAAGGAGCATAGGTGCAAATCACCAAAAATTCAATTACGATTTTACTCTCAAATACCATGCACATGAGACATTTCTGTCTCTTTTGAACAGAAATTGGAACGGAAGGGGCAAAGTGAACGTTCATGAAATTTAGAGTAGTAAAGTGAGATTTTCAAAGTTCAAGGGGCAAAGTGCCCCAAAATAAAGGGGTGTAGGTGATAATAATCCTTATTTTAAAAATAAAAGTTTATTTTGACAATTTTTAAAGCTTAATGATTATGAGAAAAAGTATATTTGACATTTTAAATAGCGTTATACATTATATAGAAAATGCTCTAACATACCATATCATATTTTTTGATGCTAAATATACAATTGACATTAACATTTGTATCGGAAACAAATGCATCAGAGATGGCCTGAGTGTAACTGTATATGATTGATTTTTAGAACAAGTGAGGGGACTTTACTGGCATTAAATAATGGATCATGAAACAGCTTGCATTAGTCCTTTAGTGGGTATAAATAAATATCAAGTTTCAACCCTGTAATAACATTGAAAACGACACCACTTCCGGCCAATACGGGAGGCTAACCTAAGCAACACATATATCTCAAAATAATAATAATAATAAATAAAAAAGTTTAAAGGTCTAGCTTTCATACGCAAGGCAATACTACTAGAAAAATAATTAAGATCTCGTTCATTTCACCAATTCGAGTTTTCAGTTTTAGGTTTTTATAGTAAAAAATTCTCAGAAAATGTCACATCTAACTTTTTCTGCTACAGTCAAAAGTTCTTAAAAAATATCACATGTCAACTCGAATTGAAAATTCGAATCCACGAAGTGAATGAGGCCTAAATCATATATAATTGTGGGATTTCATTTTTTTTTTTAGAATAAATATTCTGCGCTCTCATTGGGGAGGTTTAAAATGGAGATGTCCATCACAGATGAGACAAGTGAAGGTATCATTGCAGGCATATTGCTCGTTGACTTTTTTTCCCTTGTATAACATGTTTCCTACAGTCAACATGCAGAATTCTTTGTTTCAAAAAGATAAAAGGAGATACATAATAGAACACAATAGAATATTTTAACATAACCATTAACCAAAATTTTGCCAAATCATGTAGGAAACTTGATCAAATAACAAGTCCACTTCTTGTTACAACATTGGTTTGGTTTGGTTTTGGGGTGTAAAAGTTCGAACATACGCCAACTAAATTGCACTGCTTTAATTATTGTTTAAAAAAAAAATAGTTCAAAATGATTCCAAATTAAAAGGTCTAGAATCCAAAATAACGTCGTTTTTGTATTGAGGTTTAGTCCAAAACAAGGTCGTTTTGTACTGAGATGAAGATAAGGGGCCAAAACGCAAAGTCGAGATGAAGAAAAGGGGTCAAATTGCAACATTTTCAATGTTTCTACCTTACAAACAAGACTCTATTGCCCCCAAAACCCTTCTCTTCCTTTCTTCTACTGTATAGCAGTAGCAACCACCGCTCTCCTCATGAGACACTCCTGATTTGTCTGTCGCTGCCAAGATGATTATGGGCTAAATCAACACAAAACACGATTGACATTCTATAGTTACACGCACCCATGATCAGAAAACTTTATTTTGTGATTTGATGTTCATTGGTTTTTTATTTTTTTTTTATTTTGAGGGTAATTTTGTCATTTAGACAAAAATTTAACAGCGGAAAGGGTTTTTTTTTTTTCAAAATAGGAGTATACTGTAAATTATTTTTCAGAAAGTGTCAAAAGTCTCGGTGAAGTTTATTATTGAGAAAACATAGGAGTTGTCAGCTTAAGTCTCCCACGTATCTATTTACTTAAACCTGCCCTCAAGTTACTTATCAGAAAAATAAAAAACATACATAATCATTAATAACTCATCCATATATATATATATATATATATATATATATATAAACAAAAAATAAGCATAACCTGGCCCAAGTTTTGCATGATGGCATAAAAAGCGCAATGCTTCACGCAACAAAATTATAACTGTGGTTGACATAATAATGCATCTTTTTAGCACTACCCTTGAGCAGTAGTCGTACAAGTAAAATACTTCAGAAAACGTAAAAGTAAAACATTCAAATTTATAACCAATTTAAAGCAGTTCGTTAATTTGATTCATCCCAGAGACTTGTTCTCTCTTAATTATTCAAAAATACAAGATTGAATTCCAAGTGCCAACACTAATTTAGGCTACTCTTAAATCTGATCAAAAGGGATGAGAAGAGAGAGAACATATCTTGGTAGTCCCAAATGGCAATAAAGACATTGAATGAGGTCCACAAATATTTGCAACATCAATAGACTTCAACGTGCCATTGCTTGTTCTTCTTGAGCTGCGCAAGTTTCTCTTCCCAGCTCTCGCCTCTCTGGTCCGCCACCCTCTTGAGCGTTTCTTGAATTCCGGGCATCATTCCCTTGAGCCCACAGAAGTAGATGTGAGCTCCATCATCCAAGAGTCTAAAGATTTCGTCACTGTACTCTTCAATCTTGTCCTGGACATACATCTTGCCGCCGCTCTTGTTCTTTTGTTCTCTGCTGAGTGCTCGGTCATATCGGAAGTTATCAGGGTAGTCCTTGAGATACTTGGTGAATTCATCGTCGTAGAGGAGACTGTCAGTGTTGGCCACCCCAAGAAATAGCCAAGCAAGGCCACCAAACTTGAATGTTGGAACGGACTCCATGAACATGCGGCGTAAATAGCCTCTGTAGGGAGCGACACCAGTGCCGGTAGCAATCATTATGTGGGTGGCGTTCGGGTTATCTTCGGGCAGAAGCATTATCTTGCCAGAGGGGCCTGCAATCATAGATAAAGTGAGCATAGACTGTCTAGAATGATGCCAACTCTATCAACCAACAATAAACAAGAGCAGACAAGACTATAGTTATACATCCCCTGAAATAAAATCTTAGTCACTATTTGTTCATAAGCTAAGTCAAATCAATTAAAAAGAACCAAACTTATGCAATGCATACATATAATGTGAATAAATCAATCACCATGATTATTAAGTGAAACGAGAAGTTGCTATTTTCCAATTAAAACTGCAGAAGCATGAAATCAACACGAGCAGATTACAATATGGCAAAGAGGTCTAAAAGAGTAGTCTTTAAGTAGATATTGAGATAAGGCCTAGATGAAAAGACAAACAAATTCTTGTTACTTTACGTGCCATAATTAGGTGGAATAGACGGTACTGTTTGATAGTGGTGATGTCATACAAGTTCACGAATGAAGTCAACTTAAGCTGCCCAAAAATAAAATCTATCTTCCATTCAAATTGAGGCACGTATAAATGCCTTTCGACCATTGATTTAACCTATTGTGACTGTAAGTGGAAAGCAAAGCAAAACAAAACAAAATTATAGGCACATGACCAGTTCAGACTTCAACCATGGTTCATAGATCATCTCTTTTTCCTGCAGGAGGCTGGGAATGGAAAACATTCTTTTCAGTAATCATCCATAAGCTTAAATACCTTCCAGGCCTTTAAAGTTTTAAACAAACATACCCAGTTTATGGAAATATACTTAGAAATCTGATTTTGATATGTACCCATAATATCCCATACCGACTAGTGTCTTCTCAGATGAAAAGATAAAGCAATCATTTGCATATCATAATACCAACATTCTATACTTTTAGGGTAAATCATATAAATTATTTGATGGCGTTGTAAATTCTCAAGGCAAACCCACATTCAGCTATTTATAAGATACCAAATTTTTTATCTATGTGCCTTGTTGATTGGGAAATATTATATTGAAGTTAAGAAATCTCCCAAAACTATTTGAAAGCAAAACAGACTAGTTTCAAACACTTCTCATATAAAAGAAAGACAAGGGAACATAAAGTACTTCAAATTCAGAAGCAAAAGATGTTGACATGTTGACCTTTCACAATGCAAAAGGGCCTTACCTGTGATTTTAACTTTATCTCCAGGTTTCGAGTCACACAAATAGTTGCTGCATACACCACTCTTTGAAGGATCTTCTTTCCCTGTCTCACGGTCATAATAAACAGCACGGCGCACACACAAACTGGCCGTCTTACCATCGAAAAAATCTCCATACCTGGTGGATGCAATTGAATAAAGACGAACATTATGTGGGCTTCCAGGTTTCTTTGGGTTCTCACCCTGCAACACAAATGAATGACAAATGAGGCACTTCAGTTATGAAACTATAGTTCAAGTACAAAATAGTAACATGTTAAATGATGTTATAACACAGTTAAAACGAATGTTGAAAAGGAGGAATGAGATGAGACCCAACATTAATCTGATTCAACAATAAAATTATACCTTGATTAGATTAACATACACAATCCTAGCTACTATCACAAAGTACCACTAGGCAAGGGCAAGAAAAATGCAGAAATGTTGAGCGAATCAGTGTTGAAGTAATGTATCTTAATCATGATTAGTTTGCAAAGAGATATAAAATGAAGATCACATTGATATAATGATAACGTCTTAGTACAGGACAACGTACCGGAGGAATTACACCGTAACTTTGTCCTTCCCAGTAAGGAACATTGCCACCATGATCAATCACAATATGGCAAGTCTCTCCAGGAGCTTTTGGGCCCACAAGCCTCTCAACGGAAACAATAGTTGCTGTGTATGGTCCCTTAGGCTTGTATATATTCAAAGGGGTCTCTTTGGCATCTTCAAGATTTAATGGAGAAACAGAAACCTTAGGTGTGGATGCTTGTTGCACTGACATGCACAGTATTTGATGATCTCTTGACCGCCCATTCTTTGTCTTGAAGTTCAAAGACAAGGTAGGTATCACCCATAATTTATCGGAGAAGCTTATGTTATTAGTCTGCAAGGAACATCAAAAGCAGCTCCATGAGAAAACACATGAATCATGCACATTATAGATCAGGTTAAATTGTATTTCACTATGATATAAAGCATTTAAGCTGAATCCACATGATAAAAAGAAGGCGTACACAACCTGGTTTTGAGGATTACGTTAATGTATATCGTGGGGAATATCATGAGGAATAACACAAAAAGGTGCAAGCACAAGGTGAAGCTCTGAAACTAATATTAGCCAAAAATGAAGAGGGAAAGCAATCTCGTGCAACGCCAATAGAAAATGAAAATTAGATAAAACGTCATGAAAATAAGTCCTTTTCCTATATTTGAGATTGAAGGAAGATGGATTAAGCTCTGAGAGTAAACACGATTGAAACATATAGATATACCAATATACAACTTAATGTCCTTTCTCCAAGGAAGAGCATGCAATTTGATAGCAATGGCTCTATCTTTAAATACCAATTTTAGATTAGTAAAACATTCATAAAAAATGAAAGAAAAAGTGAAAACAGAAATTGTTAACTGGGTGGTCAAAAGAACAAACTCAAATAACCCATAAAGAGCCAATATGACAGAAAATCCAATTGTTGAATTAACCATGAGAATATATATATGAAGACGGACAGAGACGGCAGTCACTTTCCTAAGTCAAAGATATTTCTAAGAAACTACATGAAAAGGAGATTAACAATCTAAACTAACAAGGACAAAGCATGCATTTTGAGAGCTAGGGAGCTATATCTTAAAAAACCCATCTCAGATTTCAAATTCAACAAAAATGAAATTTAAACCAGAAAATAGCAAAAACTAGTAACAAAACAAAAGAACTAAGGCAAACCCAGTACGCCAAATTCCAAAAATTACGAACCTTGAACACAGATCTTCTGAGGGAGCAATCGTTTCCGACCGGAACAGTGACGGAAATCTGCAAACAAAGCCAAACATGCAAACCCATTAAACAAAAAGGAAAAAAGAAAAGAAAAATTATAAAAGATTTCAGGTTTCTCGGGAAACAAACAGACCTGAGACAGAGTGGAGAGAGCCATTAGTGAGAGAGAGGAGAGAGAGAGAGAGAGGGGATGAGAAAGGCGTTAAGAAAGAGGGAGGAGTAATAGTAATATAGAGAAGTTTGATGGAAGAGAGTGATCCTTTGGAGAGTTGCAAGGGACAGGCTCTTCTTCGTTTTGTTGTCTTTTTGGGTTTGATTTGGTTGCCTTTGGCTGCTGCTCTCTCGGACTCTCCCCTACTCTCTGATTGACTTTCTTTTGTTTTTTTTTTTTTTATTGTTTTCCTTTTCTTTTTTCTTTTTAGGCTGCGGTTTTGTATAATTTAATAATAATATTGTTGTTATTTTAACTACCTACTATTATCTTTTCTGCTAATATTCTCCACTTGACTAATAATTGCATTTGTTTATTTTCATTATTTTTTTTATATTGTTATTTTTCTTTTTGTGACCCCAACTATGTACCTCTTTTAAAGTGCTCTGATTTTGAAACATGGTACATAATTTGAAAAATATTGTTGAAAATAATTCGGGAAGTATTGATGAAAATAAGTTTTCTTTTTGTTGTGAATTGTTTTGTATATATTATTTGAGAAATAGTATCGTTACTCTTTTTGTCACTCTCTTTATTTAATGTATCATATTTTGTTTAAATAATAATAATATATCATGTTAGTAGAATTCATGTATCAAATAGTAAAATTCAGAAAGTAAATTGAGAGAGTAAATCCAGAAAGTAAATTGAGAGAGTGACGCTAACATTTATCATATTATTTAATAACACCTTTCCCACCTAAACTTTCAAGTCACATGTTCAACCCTTTTAGCATCTGATGTTACCAAAATTGTTATTAATTTTAAAGTTCAACATGCAATAGGATAAAATTAAAAGTTTCGACTTGATTATGAAAAAAAAAATGAATAATTTAAGGTGCAATAATGCAATTAATTCTTTAGACTACTCTCTTTTTTATTTTTTATTTTTTTTTTCAGGGACTTCCGGAAGATGCTTGTAAAACAGGAGAAATTGAAGTTCAAAGAAGCTCTCAAGTGAATTTACACAGTTCGTGGTTGCAACAACTACATATAAAAAGGGTCAAATAGTACTTCAAGATGTATCATCAGAAATTTTCATGCAAATCAAAGTAATAAGATTACATAAAACAGGAGAACAGAACTCGTTGCAACACTCTGGAATAAAATGGTGATAAAATATGAAGTCATTTCATTTCCTTTTTCTTTCTTTTGTCCCCCCTACAGAGTTCATTTTTTGCCATATAATTCAAAAGAGATGTATGGAGAAGAAAATGGATATGGAGTGCTTCAGTGCAAAAATGCAAGTTAGTAGTGTAACAGCCGGCTGCACTTCAGACCTCAAGCGTAGAACATCCATCGGCAGACGATATGTTTACTGAATCCATGAGAGTGGCATTAGCAGGTCGAGCGGGCGAACTTCTTCCGGTCACTGATCACGATCAGTCATTTTGACTCTCACTGCTACAAATTCTTTGATAATCTTCTCCATCTTGTCTAAGTGCTGAGACACGCTCGTCCCCTCTTGCATCTTGCTTGGAAAAAACCGTTGCCGAAGAAACTTAATGTTTACCATTGTCACTGACTCATAAATTCTCTTTGGAGTCTCCCCGATTTCTCATGCGGACTCAGTCCAGGCTAAGCTCGCCGTCATCCTCTACGTCCTCGGGAGAGGTGGTCTCAGGGAAGAATCCTCCATCTGGATACATCTTGCTGAAATGCTGTCAAAAACAAGCACAAAAGGTGAGGTGGAAGGAATAATGTGGACAAGTAATCACACCGATCTTTCAATAACAGTACCTTCATCTGGCATGGGAGTGGAGCTGATATGTCCATGTTCACCCTGAAAATAGCACAAAAAATTAAAAACCATTAACATGAGCCGCAATCGCATGGATAAATAATAGGGAGAAGTAACAATGAGAAGCACGCCGTAGTTAGCCCCTGAATATACATGGCACTCCAAAGTAGAGTAGGTTTTACTCCATTTTCGTTCTGAACCTCAGAACGACTTCCAGCATTTTCGGAATCTGAGATCTTGAGAAGGGCATTCAAAGCTGCGTGAAGCAAGTTTTTACCTTGTTTTGCATCGTTGCATAATGCCGAAAAGTACAGTACAAAACCTGAAGAACAGCCGTTAAACAGTGTCAAACCTCACGTATTCTGATAAAGAGTGGTGTGCAAATTTATCTACCGCGCTTCGCTATCCATACGCAAGCATGCTAGTTTAAAAGATGGAACCAGTATCATAATGAAATTTCCGTATCCATGTCTGATCGAGAACTTTAAATGCCACCTATTTTTTCATTAGTTTTTGAAGATCTGATACAAAGGCTACAAAGCTCAAGGTAGTGTTTGTAGAACTAACATACAAACATGGCACGTTCTTCATAATAGGATTCCTTAATGAGACCATCTTCTCACATACACGATTAAATTCTCATCACGTGTAAACTCTTTTCCTTCTTTTCTTAGCTTTGCATACACTAAATTGATATTAAGAATTTAAGAGAGAGGGTTTGAATCCGTTCACACAAGTGAATACAGAAAAATTATATTGGGAGACAGAGGACCCAAGTCAAATGTCAATGTGATTGATAAAGGCAATACTAGGATAAAATAACAACTTAATCATAATCATGATTTCCTTGTAACATAATATTTCCAAAATATAAAGCCACAGGGACATAACAAATGCTAAAACCAAGCATTGGCAAGGAAATGAGAGAGTTATGCGCTGTTCAGGATATAAAGCTAGGGAAAATAAGAAAATCAATTTTGTCACTTATTTGTTCAGAGTCGTTTGAGAAGTAATAGAATCGGAAAGCAAACTTACAATGAGGAGGCAATGAGAAAATTAGATATGTCCGGTTTCAAGGAACTTGAGACGACACATATCCCTCTAGCCACCTACCCTTTAACATGTCTCAGACCTAAACCCTCGAGACTTTCTCTGAGATGAACTCGTGGAGATGGGACCGTGAATGTTGGGTCCAGGACAAGCCGATCACTGAACAAATTCTGGCCTGAAGCTAATCTTACGCCCATATATCTCCCACTTTCCTGCAAAAGATCCCAATCCCAGATGAACATGAATCTGTTTGCACCTTATGGACAACAAAAATCTCGTTTTTCTTGATATTAGACCGGCACATAGCATAAAAAATAGAATTGTCTATTATCTGTACCTTGTCCATAAGCAATGAAACTATTGGCATTCTCAGAACCTGTATGACAAAGGTTTCAACGTTTAGAAGCACGCACAGCAGAACGACGAAGGAAAAAAAAGGTATCTGGCTTGTTTATTCCTTCCTACTTACAAAGAGAAAGAATGGACAACAAAAAAAAAAAAAAAGAGAGAGATTATTTCCAGATAACGATATATGAACATAGCAGTAATAACAATAGATACAGAGAGTTATATGAATACATACTTTTTTCCTCACTCATTCCAGTAAGTTAAATTTCCCAAATTTTCAGCTAGATGAACCTACTCCAACTCTCCAAGTCCTAATGATGCAAACAGTAATGAAGGTAAATTCCAAGTTCATCCATTTAAATACATCAAACAATTTTGGAGAAGATAAAAGACATAATGAAGGATATAAAAGGAGAGGCATAAAAGTTAAATAAGGATACAAATATATGGAGTACTACACATATACTATCAAACATAAGGCACAAGTAACTAGCAATGGAGCTTCTGTTAGGATCCTGATTGAGTCCCACATTGTTAAAGTATGAGTTTAGCATGCGGGTTTATAACCATTTGGTCAACCTCTCTCTATAGTTAGCTTTTGGGGATGAGTTCTACCCAAGGGTTATAACAATTGGTATCATAGCATGCCCCACCTCAGGTCCACGTTACGGAAGGGGTGACCTGGAAAGGTCAGGGCTATCCAGAGTGGGCCGTCATGGACGTCGGTGTCGGAAGCGTGGTGGTATGTTAGGATCCTGGTTGAGTCTCACATTGCTAAAGTATGGACTTAGCATGTGGGTTTATAACCACTTGGGCACCCTCTCTCTACAAGCTAACTTTTAGGGATGAGTTCTACCTAAGGATTATAACAGCTTCTGTATGACATAGAGAATAATAGATCTCATCACCAAAACTTACATAAACGCAGCCGTAAGGCAGCGCGACGGCAAAAGGCCTGAGATAATTCCTCGTGCCCGTAAATATGATAAATCAAAGCCCCAGTTGCATTTGGAAACCTAGAAGAGCATGCAAAATTATTTATAAAAAAAAAAAATGTTTGCATTGCAGGATAGTGATGCTACAAGATTTGATTAATAAAATGAAGTCCACTGGCACTAAGTCAGCTAAACTGAACACATTAGGTTCTAACCACAAACATGAAACATCAGAACAAAAGGCAGCTATAGTTTCATCTAAAACCATCATTAAGTAGTTTTTACAACTTTCACTTGCCTGCAATTCATCTCTAAAAGAAAAGAAAAAAGAAAAAACGAAAAATTAACTACTCATCCAAAATAAGGAAAAACCGAAAACAAAATTATAAAGAGTAATAACTTGAAACTTGAAAGACTAAAAATTCCGCTAAGCATATGTGGACTTTAAAAACAACAGATAATTAAGTGAACAGCAGAAAAGATATGAACATTAACCTGCCAACTGATTTGTTGTAGAGAGCCAAACGATCTATCCCATCTTTTGTTTTAAGGACATCTTTGCGAGTCTCCAAGTCGTTCTGATCATAATCTGCCATGGCTATAGCATACAAAATAATCCTGCAGCAGAAGAGTGAAAAGAGAACAATAATAAAAAAACTAGCTTGCGCAAAAATGTTATTGAGGTATTCATTCTAGGATTAGCTAATATCCGTATAGATGTTAAAAAAATTAAGTAATAATAATAAAATCTCACTAACAGAGAGAGAAAGGCGGAATGATCAGTACGATTTAATCTTGGGCGGTAATCGCATTTTCTTCAAGAATTCGACAAAAGGGACTCTCCAAATCCTCCTCTGAAATTCTTGAATTCTGACTACCTTCGTTACTATTATCTTGATTAGAAGCCTCCAAGTGCTGTTGAACGAGCTTGAAGAACCTCATCAACTGGTTCTTCTCAGTAAGACCCCGAGAGTCAGGGACATTCCAAAGCTTCCCATTCTCATCACACACAAAACTTGCATCAATGCTCTTAAACTCTAAATACTGGCCAGCACCCGATTTCACTATCAGATCTATGGCTTTGTCTGCACAGAAGAACACCCGAGGCCCGCCAAGGTCGATGCTGAAACTTTTGGAATGTTCTGTTAGGGTCTCGGGGGCATACGAGGAAACGTCAATGTCGGAGTACAGAGGACTGCGAGCGAGATCTAGTATGGTGTAGTCATCTACATTGCTATTGATGTTGGTAGAGGATTGGGGTTGGGTAGCGGTGGCTACCATAGAAGGAGTTGAGGAAAGAGTTTATCTCGGATATGGGCAGAGAGGCGAAGTGGCTACCATAGAAGGAGTTGGGGTCAAGGCGGATGACAGTTTTCCCAACAGCAGAGGCAGCAGCAGCAGCAATTAAAGATCCAGGACAGTATAAGATTCAGCAGAGGCTTCACTCATTATAGCAGCTCTATATAGATGAAATGACAGTAAGGTCTGCAGGTGCAGGTTCCTCGTCAGTGATATCAAATGACCATCAGAAACTCTGAAAATAGAAAAGTGATGGCAACTAACCGTATAAGAACTTTAGGGTGTGTTCGGTGTCCACAAAATTAAAAAAATTGTAATTTGAGTTCTAATTTTATTTAAATTTATGTTTTTTTAAGTTTGAATTAGAGTTTGAGACTAAAATTCGAGTTTAAGGACACGTTTGGTTCATGGATTAGAATTATTTTCGATTTATCTGTATTTTTTGTGAGAGAAAATATTATAACGAACCACGAACCATGATTCGAATCAGTGAATGAATCTAGGTATCAAACATCCCCTAAGTGTCTCATTCAAGTTCAGAAACTCGAACTTAAATTAATGAACATTATTTTTCCTATTCTTAAAAATGTTATAACTTTTTCGTTTTAATCTTGATTGAAATGATTTTTTTTATGTTTTGATAACGAAAAGACGAATAAAATATCACCCATGTACCCTATTAAAATTTTTCATCACTATTGAGTTTTTATTAAAATATTATCTAAATAGAAATTTAAGTTTTGACTCACTTAAACATAAACTCAAAAAAAGATTATTATCTCAAACCATAACTCAAATGTACACAACCAAATACAAACTCAAGTTATAACTCAAATTCAATTCAAAAACTACACTCAAGTCACACTCTAAAAGAACAGACCCTTAAATACTCATAAACTAGTTGTTCTAATATATATATGTATATATATATACACATATTTTTTTCCTTTTCTAAGAGAGGAGAGACTAAGGGGACGTTTGTTTTCTATATTCGTTTCTGATTCTGAATTGTGATTCATGGTTTTTTATAGTATTTTTTCTCATAAAAAATATACGTAAAACAAAAATAATTATGAATCATGATTCTGAATACATAAATTAAACGTCTTCTTAGACCTGTACGTCAAAGATATTGATGATAAAAAATACATAAGCACCTTGAACCCTTAATTTGTAATCTACTTCAAGGGATTTATGAGTGATGACGGTAGATTCAATGCAAGCTTTTTTGCCTTTGAATTTTTTTTTTTGGTATGGCTCCTAGAATATGTTGATTCATGCAAGAAAAATTAAGGGGTTGTTATTTTGCAACGAAATTTAGAAAAAATTTGAACTCGAGTTATAATTTTATTTAAGTTCATGTTCTTTTGTAAAATTTGGGTTTGAACTCGAGTTTGGGGCTAAATTTGAGTTTAAGTTTCCTCTTCAACTCGAATTCATAAACTTGAACTCAAGTTAATAAATAATATTTTTTCTATTCTTAAAAATGTCATAACTTTTTCATTTTAATTCTGATTGAGATGTTTTTTTTTCTGTGTATTCACAACGAAAAGACAAATAAAACCTCACCTATATACTCTATTAAAATTTTTCATCACCATTGAGTTATTATTAAAATACTATCTAAATACAAATTTAAGTTTTGACCCACCCAAATACAAACTCAAATAGATGCTCAATTCAAATCATAACTCAAATGTGCACATCTAAACACAAACTCAAGTTACAACTTCAACTCAAGTTATAACTCAAACTCAACTCAAGATCATCACTTAAGTCACCCTAACTCAAAAATATAAAAAAACAACTTCTAAGTTTAACCAAGTTTTTTTAACTAAAAAAAAAAAGTGAAAATCCACTCTACTGTCCAATTGATATACTCTACTAAGCAATAGAGAGCTTTACTACTCGAATCTACTGAAAAGTAGAGTACGTCTACCATATAGTCAAAATATTATAAATTTAATTAATAAGATACTTTAATTCATAAAAAAAAAACGTTTTACACTTAATTACTGGTGTTTACATTCAATAACAATTACTTCGTTTATTAAGTTAGAATTTTCAAAATTTCACTTCTTGATGGATAATTTCAATCAACATAGGTAGCCCCTTAAGTAGTAGCGCATTAAGTTGGTTTTTTTTCTTTTATATATGTAATTTCATCAATTTGCTATGAATGGTCAATGCAACCAATTAATTAGTAATATTATGCAAGAAAAATTAAGTTTAATCAAGTTTTTAACTAAAAAAAGGAAAGTGAAAATCCACTTTACTGTCCAGTCGAGATACTCTATCAAGCAGTAAAGAATTTTACTACTCAAATCTACCAAATAGTGAAGTACGTATACCGCATAGTCGAAACATTATAAATTTAATTGATAAGATACTTTAATTAATTAAAAAACGTTTTGCACCTTAATTATTGGTGCTTACATTTAAAATAACAAAGTTATTTACTTCATTTACTAAGTTAGAATTTTTAAAATTTCACCTTAGTTAGTTATTAGTGTCTTGATGGATAACTTTGATCAACATAGCTAGCCTCTTAAGTAGTAGCGCATTAAGTTGGTTTTTTTCTTTTATGTAATTTCATCAATTTACTGCAAGTGATCAATGTGACCAATTAACTAGCAATATTATGCAAGAAAAATTAAATTTAACCAAGTTTTTAAAATAAAAAAGACAAGTAAAAATCCACTATATTGTCCAACAGAGATACTCTACATAGTAATAGAGAACAATAGAGTACGTCTACCGCACAGTCGAGCCCATTATAAATTTAATTAATAAGATATTTTAATTCATTAAAAAATGTTTTGCACCTTTATTACTAATGCTTACATTAAAAAGAACAAAGTTATTTACTTTGTTTACCAAATTAGAATTTTCAAAATTTCACCTTAGTTTTAGTGTCTTGATGGATAACTTGGATTAACATAACGTACAAAAGTGAGGAAAAACAATGAACCCTTAAAATAGTGCATTAAGTCGGTTTTTTTTTTTAATGTAATCTCATATATTTTGTGCGAATAATCAATACAATGTGATAAATTAATTATCAATATTATCTAAGAAAAACTAAATTTAATTAAGATTTTTAACTAAAAAAATAAGTGAAAATTATTGTACTGACCAGTCGAGATACTCTACTCAGCAGTAGATATCTATTGCACAGTAGAGGTGCTCAACGGCCCAGTAGAGATTTTTAGTATAAGGTAATCTCTAATGAATAGGCGAGCTTGTGAATTAAACTGCATATCTACCGCATGGCAGAACATCTCTATTGCACAGGCAAGTTCTTAAATTTATCAGACTGTTTACATTCTCAAAATACCAATACGACAACATTCCTTACCTAAAGAGTTGACAAAAATTTATAATATCTATCAATTTAACAATATGTATAGGAATATCAAAAGTAATAATACAAATATTTCTTAAGGTCCTAATCGTAAAAAAATAATACAAATTCGGTGTCCCGAAGCCATGGCCTGCAAATGACAAATTTACTTAAATCAAGTTAAATATTGTAAAAACAATAGGTGCATTTGGAATTAGTTTTAAAATGATTTTATTTTCAATAAAAAGTAAAAATGATATTGTTTTGAGAATCATTCTGGGACTAATTTTGAAATTGCGTTTGGTCAGTTTTTTAAGAGATTATTTTGAGTATAATAAAAAAGTGAAATCGTGTTAATTAATTAATATATTATAATATTATTGATAAGTACTAAAAAATGAAAACATAAAAGTGAAAACAACTTTAAACTGTTTTCTAATTCCTTCACAAAAACCATTCTCATTATTTTCGTTTTCAAAACATTTGCTAAACAAATATCGTTTTGTTTTCATTCTTATTTTTTACTTATCAAAATACGTGAAAATTATTTTAAAAAATGGTTCCAAACACGCACAATTGAATCCAATCATAAAATAGTACAGCTCAACTATAAAACAGTAGATCTCGTTGAGAAATGGTAGAAAATAAACTAAACATGCTTATAGCCCTAACAAAAAAAAAAAAAAAAAAAAAAAAAAAAAAAAAAAAAAAACTAAAGCAGATTTTAGAATGAAAAAGTACCTCTCTCCTCGTCCTCCACCGTTGCCACCGTGTTTCCTCCAATGGGAATTGATGCTTCCATTGGTGACGTTTCTTCATGGCTCGGTTAAGCATACATAAATTAACTCCATCAAACGGATTGACCAGTCCCCCTTGAAATATAGGGGTTATATATTAACCAATCCAAATCTCATTACTCGAAAACATTATGAGGGTTCCATAAAATAAAAAAAATAAAAAAAAAATCATGGTGGCCATTAAAACAGTTTATTTCTCTATAGAAAGCTTCTTCACTTCTTTGTCAAGAGCAAGCCACCACAAATATTTCAAATTAAAATGAAATACCAAAACAACATTTGTATTTCAATTAGCCATTTGTTGTATCTGATTAACAAAAATCAACTAGCAAGCATATTGTATCCTGCTATTAGGATTCATGATTTTGACCGACCATCTATGTGAATTTAAGCAAAAATACTGAAATGAAATTGCATTAAAAGAATATTACAATGACTAAACAAAAAAGAAACTTGAAAAAGCATTCATAGTTCAACGAATTTCATTAAATTAAAAAAAAAAGAAAAAAATACTCACCTGAAAATGATATTCGGCCTTCTACGTGGTACCGGCATGGCGGTAGCCGGCGAGACTGGGCATGACAGGTACTGAGGCTGGCAGCCGGCGGTCGGCTGGAGTGGGTGGCGCTGCGGTAAAAACAATGGATCTCAACTATAAAATAATATAGCTCGCTGAAAAGGGTAAAAAAAAAAAAAAAAAAACCATACATTTTATAGCCACAAGACAAAAAGTCTCGTCATCAGTTTCTACTTGACCTACTTCAAGTTCTTAGGTAAAAAGCATAATAGGACAAAACTAATCAAAATTAGTAGAGACCATTAACATGACAAACCAAACCAAAAAGTTTCCCTGTTTATCGAATCAAAGTTGTATGTATTCCTTTCTATTAATAAAAGCAACAATTTTAAGTACACAAACTCACTAACGAGTAAATGGATGGTAACGAGAAAGCATCAATATACAATGGCCAAGTTTGATATTGATTTTGGGAGAGAGAAAACACTTATTGATTTCGCTAAAACTGTCAATGATGTTTGGTAAAAAGCAAAAAAAAGTAAATTTTTAAAGAATTTTTACTCAACTTGAAGCTAAAAGCAGAATCAGTAGGCTGATTCTGATTTCAACTTATGCAGGAATCAACTAAGGCTAATTAATGAAAGTTTCTTATTCTCAATTTTACCCCCAATGAAATCTAAAAATTACCATCTCGCCAATCACAATTTTCAGATGTATTATCTCTTCTCTCTGCTCAATCACCTCTTTGTGCTCTTTATCCTCCGTTCTCTCTCTTCTCTCTCTCCGTGCTCAGCGCTCCGTTCTCCGTGTGCCTGTCTCTCTCTTCGATTTCTCCATTCGCCGGCCTCTGTAAGTACTTGATTAATTAGTTTCTCTGGATTTGGTAAAAAGCAAAAAAAAAGTAGATTTTTAAAGAATTTTCACTCAACTTGAAGCTAAAAGCAGAATCAGTAGGCTGATTCTGATTTCAACTTATGCAGGAATCAGCTAAGGCTGATTAATGAAAGTTTCTTATTCTCAATTTTACCCCCGATGAAATCTAAAAATTACCATCTTGCCAATCACATTTTTCAGAGGTATTCTCTCTTCTCTCTGCTCAATCACCTCTCTGCGCTCTTTATCCTCCGTTCTCTCTCTTCTCTCTCTCCGTGCTCAGCACTCCGTTCTCCGTGTGCCTGTCTCTCTCTTCATTTCTCCATTCGCTGGCCTCTGTAAGTACTTGATTAATTAGTTTCTCTGGATTTGGTTCTGATTTGTCCGCATATTTTTTTGGTAAAAATCATGGTAATGTACATTATGTTAGGGTTTTGTCTCTGAGCTGATTTGGTTTTGATTTATGCATTAACCTGGTAAAACTGTTAGGGTTTCGTTTCTTGCTGTTGAGTTTGTGCTTTTCTTTTATCATTATGGATTTAATTCGTCATGTATATGTATATTATCTTTCTCTACATTAATCGGGCTGTTTGAAACTTGAGATGAGTTTGCGAATACCCCTTTCTATTTTGCAATTGCGAAGAACTCCTTTTCAATGTAGATATGCAAATGGCTATTTATTGCACCAATTTAAAACTTGTGTTTTGCTAGATGATGCCAAATCTCCTTTAACTTTTATTTTTTACTTCCCTTTCCTGTTTTCCCTTTGTTAATTTTAATTTGACTTCTATTTATGTATGTTATGATCCTGACGAAATAAGTTTTTGGTTGCTAATGTGTTTAATCTCGTCTTTGTGCTAGATGATGCCAAACCTCATTTAAAATTGCATGCTTTCATTTTTTTTTTCACTACAAAATAATTACTATAGGTATCCTACATATGTTATTTGTAGTTTGTTGGTTAAAGCTATTTGTTGGAACCTAATTCCTAAAGTAGTTAGAAGTTTGATGAAATCGCGTCATATGGAGTTTAATAATTAAATTGGAAGAAATGCAACTTCCTCTGGATTTGGGATGTGAAAGATAGGCAAGCAGTAAGTCTAATCCATTTGATCTCACTGTTAGAAAGAAAATCTTAAAATCAATAATGCGTTCTTTTAGATTCAAGCGTCTATGATTATTGAGGTGAAGTACTCAGGACTAGAAGCTATGATTAACTTGGCTATTGATTGTTGATTGAAAGTATTACCCTCCGCCCACCCCCCCACCCCTATTTATGTAAAATAAAGCATGAAGCCTCACATTCTTCTAGACTTTCAATTATTATTTCTCAAATGGAGGGTAGTATATCACAAGGCAAAGCAATATGGAACCCTGAGACTGTGGATCTGTTTTGTGATTTGTGTATCAAATAGGTGAAAGATGGACGCCCTCCTGGAACTCATCTTGATAAAGTTCGATAGGAAAATTAAATTCAAAAATTTAATGAAGCAACGAAACAAGTATATAAAAGACAACAATTGAAGAATAAGTGAGATGTTTTGAAGAATGATTGGAAGCTTTAGAAGGAACTTATTGGAAAAGAATCTGGTCTAGGTTGGAACATGGGATGTATATTTTTGTTGTATATGTTGAGTACTCACTAATGTTCCTTTTGTTATAACTATATTGTGAATGAAGAAATAAAAAAAGAATTAATTATCACAAATTTGTTGTTAGAAAACTCATAATCATAACATTATGTTTTTCTTTTTTTTTAAGTTAAACAAGTATTTCTAAATACCAAAAATAATTATATATATTTAAGTTTAACACCATGTCTATTTTGGTCATTTTAACTACCCATAACAATTCAACCTCACAATTTATCAAACATTATTACACTTATTTTGGAACTAACACAGCTAGTATAATTATAGTTTATCAAACACACAACTGCTTTTTATAACAACTACTTTTTTCTTCAGCACAGTTAAAAGTAATTTTTTTTTTAAATCTACAGCACTATCAAACTAAGCCTATATATCACATGAGTGGTCACGTATTAATTTCTGTTAGAAAATTGACAATGATGGACAAAAAGGTGTTAATTACACCAATTTTAAAAAGTTAGAAATTATTTTGTCAAAATCAAAAAAAAAAAAAAAGACTAAGCTGTCACTTACTAAGGCCTCATTCATTTCTCCAATTTGAGTTTTTAATTTCAATTTTACTACAATTAGAAGCTCTCACAAAGGTTAAAGACCATTAAAAAATTGACATGACCATTGTTGATGCCTAAAAAATCGCACGGTACAAATTCGGCCCAAATCCCACAAGACGACCCAAGGTATGGTACGTGGACCCAAGCCACGCTTCGGGGACTTTTATGTGGGCCGTGGTTTGGCAGGCCAAGGAATGTGACCGGGCCCATTTTATCCGGCCCAATTAGATCCTTGGCCCACTTGGGGTGGTCTTGGGTCTATGAGGGAATTAGGATAACGTGGGTTATGGAGAAAATTAGACAGAGTAAGACAAATTACCAAACTTTACAGTCACCACCTGTACACTGAGGTAAAACAAAATAACATTTTACCCAAAATTTCCTTTCTCTTCCTGCCCTTCTCTCCCCTCAAAAGTCAACAAAGTCTCTCTTCCCCAAAAACTATAAAAAGGCAGAATATACACAAATAAGATAAGGCAAGCCTTTGACCACTTGGCTGCCATTTTTCTGACCACACCTAAAACGGCCACATAACTTGATTGACTGCTTAACAGAGGCAAGTGTCAGATTGGCTTTTGGCCTGAAACATGCTGAAAACACCCAACTACCTCCATTGGCTGCACAATAGCCTAGTCCTTCATCTTTTTGGTAAACCCTCCCCTGCGATTGACAAAAGCCAGCATTAAACCATGCTGAAAATGTCTTACCGACTAGGGCTGTAAGAAATCACCCCGAACCCGACGAACCCGGCCGAGCCGAGCCGACCCTACCCGAAAATTACGGGTTTCTAATTTTTTATTTAATTTTCGGTTTGAATTATACCTAACCCGCACTGCGCGGGTAGGGGCGC